GGGTGAAATGACGAATTTAATTGTGCATTTAACCACCCCTTGTCTCTCTTGTCAGTTCGGGTATGGAAAGGGATTGCATGCATTAGGGTGAAATGACGAGGTTAATTGTGCATTTAACCACCCTTTGTCTTTCTTGTTAGTTTGTGTATAAGGGATATCGATTGGATGCATAAGGGTGAAATGACGAAGTTAATTTCAATTGTGCATTTAACCACCCCTTGTCTCTCTTGTCAGTTTGTGTATAAGGGATTATATGCATTGGGGTGAAAGGGACGAGGTTAATTTCATTTGTGCATTTAGCCGCCCCTTGTCTTTCTTGATAAAAAGTGCAAATGCACCCCTCCATAAGGCTTACACCTGATCTTTATTCGATAGTATTAGAAAATTCGAATTTTTTTCTGCGCCCGCCCAAGGGGGGGGGGGCTGCCCCCCAGATCCGCCAATGGGAGGTTATGCTACCCGATTTAAAAACCTTGCTCCCAGATGTTCGTTGGAAGTCAATCAATTAAATAAAAACAATTACCTAATAGACCTAGTAAAGCAGTCAACTAAGTAATAATGACCGCTATTGAGAAAGCTGAACGTTTTCTTGAGTTACATTTTGTGTCAACTTGGTGGTATTTATTGATTTCAATAAAGATGATAAGAGATCTTATGCCAAAGTAGCCAATTTAAACGAAAGCATATGACGGCTCTGTTTATACTGACAGCGGCAATATTAAATCTGTCGTTTAATCTACGTCATTATAATGAACTAAATTTCGATCGAACCAGTTGAATGGCCAATCACTTCGACTTTCCCACTCGATTTGAGATGTTGACAAGTAGATGTAGCGCTCAAAACAACTTTTGTTATTGACAGACTTAAGTACAAAATCGTTGTGTTAAGGCCAACCGTACACGTGCGTGAGTCCCATTTGTTCAAGAGATTAATGAGGGAGAATTATAGTTCTTGTATTGTGTAATCATCAGATGTTGTCTTGCTTTAAGTCTCTGAACTCCCTCCCTCTTTATCTTCTTCAACACCAGAGGAATTGTGTAGTGGGAGTTCAAAAGTGATTCAATAAAACTACATCAGATATTGTGTTTCTTGTACCCCGAAATATATCTCGTTTCTTGGTCATGCTAACCAGAAAAACATGGCAAGAATAAACTGTATCAACCATAATGTAAGACCAGATGCTGCATTAACTATAGAAAAACGTGAAATTCACAAAATATAACCAAATACGTGTGACTACGTAAATCGAGAACTACGTATTACGTGAACTACGCAATACGTGATTCACACATGTGTCCGATTCCAGCCAATCCGACCACGGTATTTCAAATAACTGCAATGCATTATATAACCAATCTCCGCACCCGAGGCCACTCATCAAATGGCTGTCAAGGTGACAACTTAACTCTACAGATTGAAATTGATGCTTCGCTAACTTGACCCTTGCAAGATATTTCATCGAAATATGTTCTTTTAGTGATTTCTTTTAGATGGTTTCGTCGAAAATATTTTACAATGTGTGAAAAGAATTTAAGCCCAAGACTTGATGCATTGTGGTTGATTAACTTTGCGTTCCCGCTGCGCGGTCATGCAAAGATTTGAAACAATACCTTCAAGGGAATGATTCAGTCCACGATGCAATGAGTCCAGGATTTCAATCCTCACACAACAGCTATGTGTAATACATGGGGGGAAACATACCAAAAATCAAAATGTTCAATATATATTACAAAATACAAAGGTTAACAATGAAGAAATTATACTTCAAGATGTATTTCAAAGTTCAAAACACTTCTAACGCTATTAGAATTCAATGTCAAATTCCAGACTAATATTTTTTTTTAAGACTAAAAAACACTATTCCAAAATCTTTGCTAATAGATGTTATGGAGAATAATCAGAATATCACTGATTATGAAAAAACAAAGCACTTGTAAAAAGTTTCTTACTCAGTCAAAGATTAGTAAAATAATATACTGGGAATTTGTTCAGAACCTAGAAAAGAACTCAAAATATATAGAAGGATGGAACAAAGATCTAAAGTCACTCAATCAAAATGATTGGAAGAAGATAAATAGATTTAACAAACTGAGTAACTTTGAACAAAAGTTATCATCTTTCACTTACAAAGTCCTTCATAGATTTTTAGCAACTAATACGTACTTAAAATGTGTGGACTCGTGGAGCCAAACATTTGCACTTTTTGTAAAGCAAATCTTGAAACGATTTGCCATCTTCTGTATGATACACAATGGCTCTCTTTAGAGCTCACATTGCTATACCTGAGAGTATAAATGAAAAAACAATCATCCTAAATAATATGCTATGTATTTTTAAAAGGTACATGTATGTTTATTTGTGCAAATACGTATTCTATGCTAGAACAAACACTTAAAGGTTTTATAAGTACATGTGAAGGAATATTTTATTATGGACAAGCGATTTGGCAGAGGTGATAAGTGGAAAATCATGGATGCAAAATTAATTAAATAAAAAAAATTGCCAAAGGTATAAAATTCTTAAACACTATAACGTGTAACCAATACTGCATTGTAAAATGTACGTAGCTGTATTGTAATTGTATTTTCCTATTGCTTTAACATGTTTTTTCTTCTCTGAAATAAAAAAAATTAACTCCGGCATTGTATTGTGGTTATTATCCTTTCAATGGAACTTCGTGATCTCAGCTTATGTAATACCAGTTTAGCGAGAGTGTTGTATGTAATACCTTGATTCTATCTCATAGTTTATGAAGCCATTATTCAATAGTATGTGCAACAACCCTTTAATTATACCTGTCCAACTATACGGGTTCCGTTTTTCTGATGAGAGAGAGCTACATGTTATCTTAGATTAGACCAAAGATGAGAGCATAGATGAGAGCGGATTATTGTTTATACGATTAAAGTGAACTGAAAAGGCAATTATGTTGCATTTCCTAGATTGATGGCACGGGGCACACTTAGCTTGTGATAAATCGTTCCTTATATTTCACTAGACTTCAGTCATGCTGGCTTGCTTCATATTTTGTTAGCCATTCTAATGACCCGAAAAATAGATTTACCGCTTGAAGGAACGTAAATGTGACAAGAGGGATAATACATTACTAAAGTCAGTGGGTATTTAGTGAAAGCGATTACTCATAGTTCCTCAAGGAATTCAAGAGATTTGTTAACTGGTATTAGAGGCAGTGGTCACGCGTCAGGCGTTACAAATGATGCCTTGTTTAAGTCACTTCTGGGCTCTAGCCTGTTGTGATATTTCCGTTTTGATCAAGAGGACAACTATCAAACGGCTTATAAGCGAATTAAGTGATGAGAAAAATTACCTTATAATAGACTCCATTTATCATCTTGGGACATCGCTTGGAAAATTCTAGAAAGGTTGAATACTTAAGTAGCTTTTAGTGTCTAGGTATTTTCTCTATGCCATAGATCATTCTTTTAAGTTTTTAAGTCACTGCCCTATTCAAAAATGTATCACTTTCCGTGAGTTTCAAAGTCTTCAATGGATCAACTATATCGCTATAAGCCGACGTTGTATTTCTTTAGTACGTACGTTTCTTGTTATGTTCCTGTGTTTTGATTCAATGTAACTTTTCTAACTGAGCATTCACTTACCTTTTCAAATATGACTGCAAAACAGATCCAAAATCTACTCTTTGAAGAATATCTTGTGTTGCATCGGTGCATTGTAAAACAAGCTTGTCATAACATTAAATACGAGTGGTTGAGTTGGCCTCAGCAATTTCTGCCATTTTTTACCTTTGTTGTTTCTTTGTTTGTAAATGCAATGCAAACTTGGGATTGAACCCGTGGCCTTCACATTCCAGGCAATATCTCAATATATTTCTAAAAAGTTGTGGTTAAATGTATTTATGAAACAATAATCACAGTTATCACAAACTTTTCATGGGTCCTTTAATGTATTTATTCATTCTTCTCAACCTACCTTTAAATCTATGGGATACTAAATGACATCTACAGCAAGAAAATTAAATCGATTGATATTCTGCACCAGAAGTCCGGTCTCTAATCTTCAGATAATTAATTTCACAATTAAAACAATTCCGTGGAGTATTTTATCGGATAAATACCTCACCAGATCAATTAGGGATACTAAATATTCTTGCCATATGCTCAACGATTGACTTCATTCGCCCTCTTTCCCTGACTTAATTTCACTTGTGTTCCTCTATCAGCGAGCTTGGATAATTCGAACTGTGTTGTTAAGTGATAATACATTGAGAGATAAACTTCAGTTTCTAAATCCAGTTCAGCATCGCTTTAAATCAGAACGATTCGCTTAGATACTCATTTTTGGTTGGAAATGCTTGTGAAAGATGTTTTACTCTGAACGCGAACACCAACCGCAAACTAGGCGAGGCTCGTTGGTGAGTAGCATGGAGCTCTGTTGATGGGCACACTTCATGCTATTTCAAAACGTCACTTCTTCCCCAAAGTCACATTCTAAGGACCTCTTTATATTAGCTTAAGGTGTTACACTTATAAATCTAAGGAAGTGGAAAGCAACGAACTTAATTGGTTTTCCTCATTATATACAAACATTTTTAAGGATAATGCGAGCCTATCCCGAGACTATTCATTTCATTAGCTAGAGGTAGCAGGAGACTTTTTACCAAATTGCTTTCAACGTCCAGAAAGTGAATCTTTATTTATTCCCCCTTCGTGAAAAATAACTCACTGGAATGATAGCTTGGAACTCAAGCTGTTAAAACAGAACGTTGGGAATGTGAAATGTTGTTATATTGGTGGCCGGGGTCATCTGATGTAAAAACAACAAATCATTTATGCTTTTGAAATTATAATCGATGAACAACCTTGCGACGGTGTCATAAATTTTCAGTTGAAGCATATGCATCAGTAAATGTTGAGTAAAACTGCCGCTGCGCCATATATGCACATGTACCATGTAATACAACAATTTTTGTTTCATTTTCAGTTGTTGTACCACAGATTGTTGACACTTCGAGACGGTGAAAGACGACTAATATTGATAAGATGGATATAGCAGGCGATATTTACCCACAGTACAATTTGGATTCTTCAACTCATTCGGTCCCAGGCTCATCATATCTACCAGACCTGGATCTATCCGAGTACATCGCAGAAATCCCTCCCCTGATTGACCCTGACAAAGGCTACCCTGGCATCACAGGGATAACAAATGAATCTCGATTATCAGATTTGATTCTTCACAGTTCAAACAGAACCAAAATGGACTGCTCGATACCGAAATATAAGAGAGACAATGTTTGGACGCCTGATGTTATTCAGCGCGTTGTTATTCTTGCAGTTATAATGACTCTTACACTTTTGGGCAATACCGTGATTATTATTGTGTTAACTTGTAGTAAGTACAGACGTCTTAACAGTAGGGTCAACATTTTCATTATCAATCTTGCTATCGGGGACCTTAGCGTATGTTTTGTGACAATGACTACAGAGATCTTATTCGTCGTGTTTGGTGAATGGATCCTCGGTCCTGCAGCGTGTAAAGTCCTCCTTTATGGTCAGATCATCACACTCGCCAGCACCACATTTATCCTTACCGCCATGAGCTTCGACAGATATTTGGCCATATGTAAACCGCTCAGTTTTGGGGTCAGCAGAGTTTCGAGAGCCAAGAAAATGATCGTAACGGCCTGGTTTCTGGCGTTCGTATTTGCAGTGCCGCAGCTTTTCATCTTCAAGCAGGTATTGGTAGAAGACGACAATACAAAATGCGAAATATTTAAGTGTAGAAGTTTGGGATATACGGCGTTTTGGCAGAGGAAACTCTACTTTACGTTTATGACGTTCTATATTTTAATTATACCAGCATCATTGATTTCATTTTGTTATATCAACGTTGCAAAGGTTGTTTGGAATCAAGGTCGGGAAGTGACCACATCAAAATTTGACAAGTCGTCAACTTTAAGAAGGTCATACGCTGATAAGAAAGCTATACCACGGGCAAAAATAAAGACTGTAAAAATGACGTTATCCATTATTGTGTCTTTTATATCGTGCTGGACTCCATATTTTGTCGCCCATTTGATTCATATATGGTCTGATTATTCGTACAAGATTCCCAAGAATGTGATGGTTTGGGTTGAGACATGCGCAGTACTGAATTCGGCGGTAAATCCAATACTATATGGTTTCTTCAATATAAAACTTAAAAGGGGGCTCGTGGAGGTGTTCTGTCCCGGCAAACTTCGCCCAGAACCCCACACACGATTGAGTCTGAGTATAAGAAGTGGCATTACAGACTGCACATCCGTCCCCGTCGACGGAGACAACAATTGTTTATCTACTAAAAGAATCGCTAACAAGTGTCGACAGAGTTCCGCTAACTCTTCTTCGTCGGCCTCAAGCAGCAATTACAGACACTCGGTTGATTCGGATTCGAAATGTTTGTTCACATTCAACGCCTCTGGAAAAGCATTGCCAATCAACGGCTCTGCGGGCAAGAACCACGTGATTACCGAAGAAAATACGAATGGATTTCGCTACCGGGTGAAATTCACCAAGACAAAAGAAAGTAGCGATCGTGAAAGTCAAGAAGGGTGTGATAAACTTTTAAGTGATGAGAAAACAAAAGAGGAAGTACTAGATTGTGTAACTAGTATTTAAAGTCTACTCTGCCCAAAGGCTGTACATCGATACATCATTAACTTTAACAATGCTGTTCCATAAATGTTATATTTTGAGAACAAGTTATACCAGGAGCATAAACAGTCCACATGCTCTTGATGATATGGTATCACTGACACCATGGTTTGTTTCGAAGGATAGGATACAATCGTAATCATAACAGTGCAATAGAAACGACGAAGCGTAGTCGCTAATGTTTTCATTATTCTTCCTCATTGACTTGTCAGTTTGCTTCGGGCTATTGGGTTTGACATCGAGTGGACGCTGTTCACCTGCAGACTTGTCAGAATATAAGATAGTGAATGCACCTAGCTCAGAGAATGCACATAGGGAATGCACTTAGGGGCATGCACAGACTGGCACATATTTAATTAGATCAACCGGGCATTTAACAGATTTTTTTGATTATAATGAAAACGAAAATCAGGTCATTATCTAAAATGCTTCCCGTCTTCACGTCTTTTTAACGCACAATTTGGGCGGCCAAACCCAGCAAAGTCATTGTCGCATTATTCAGCATAGATCTGATTGGACGACAGGATAGAATATACAGAATCGGGACAAAGAGTGCAAATGAAATTACTACACAGTATGCTTATTTACGACAGTCGTAAGTCAATAAACACGATGCACGATGTAGCGAATGACACAAGCAAATATACGTTACGTCGACGAAGAGAAGTTGTAAATAGCATTGGAATGAAATAATTGAGGGGTTATTATCAGCTTCTGGTGCACTGTTATGCTGTTATGACGAACAAAACGAGTAAAATCATTGGTTACCCTTGAGCCAAGATCGTGGATGTTGTTATTGGTATCGACTGTACCGTTGTATATCATCTATCATGAATATACTGTTGTTTTCAATATAAACCAACGCATATACAGAAACATCATAAATAAAGCAAAACAAACAAATTGATCGAAATTTATGTTTTTGTTCGACTCGACCGACTTCAGTAAATTAGAAATATAGAAACAAGCATTCCGAAGTCGTTTGTCATAGTTATTTGACAACATTATGAAAATAGCAAGTCGTCGGCTCATGTCAACCACATTGGAAAATATTTTTGACAAGAAATACATATTTGTACATCGAGACAAACTTTACAAAAAAGCTCCCGATTCATGTTTCATTTTAGATCATTGTTATTATTTGGTAGAACATAGGCATATAAATATTATAAATGATATTATTTAAATGTCTAGTCTTAAAGTCAAGGAAAAGAAAAATGTCTAATTGCTAGGCTTAGTTAAAGTCACAATGCTTCTATATTTTGTTATAAATGTAACTGCTTAACGATTATTATGTCAGCATTCTCAAATCCAGGGTTCGTTTTTAGAAATATCGTGAATAACGTTTTGATTTACTATAAATCTTCGGGATATCTGTAAATGATGTCACATAAAAATTCTTACAATTTTCTGTTTATCCATCTCCCCAATTATCTCATCATCCTCTTCGCTCTCTTCATGGGGAATCCCGTTTGGATTATGTGTTAGAGTCAATTCACGTATATATTAAATCACCTCTTCAGTTACAATAGGTGGGAAATACGAGACTGAGACTCAATAATTGCTGCAAATTCAAGACGGTGATTCAAACGTTTCGTGGGAAGGAAATAATTAATCCGTATGTTTTTCCAGGAACATATATGGCCCGACCTATGGGATGTTGAGCGCAAAACGCTTATTTCTTGAAATGTATACATTACCTTTATGACATATTTTAAGCACAACAACATAACATAATTATTTCACGGGCCACGAATCTGGATTAATATTCCTTTTAAACGAAATGCCGATTATGTAAAAGAATTGTCATGAATAGAAATGAATCGTTATGAATTACATTGCGTTGTAATGGCATGGATTGTAATGAATTGTTACGGATTGTAATTGATTGTAATTGATTGTAGTGGATTGTAATGAATTGTTATGGATTGTATTGAAAAGTTATGGATTGTAATTGGTTGTAACGGATTGTTGAATTTCAATGAATTGTAATGAATTTCAATGAATTGTAATAAATTTCAATGAATTGTAATGCATTTTAATGTATTGCAAAGGAATGTAGTGAATTGTAATGAATTGTATTTGTGGTAAACGAAGTGATTCTATTTTTGTTATACTTCAAATGTTTTATTAATAAATATTATTGTAAATGGTAATAAAATATGTATTTACAAATTAACTGTTTATAAATCTTTGTATAATCCAACGTGAGAGTACATCTCCGCTATGTGTATTCAAAACTGTTTAAAAATAGTTACAATTTGATACATAAGTCATTCAGTAATTTTGTTAAAATCATCTTGTCTTCTTCTTTAATAATAGCGTCATTTGCTTAACATATTTACAGATTAAGCATATTCACTCCCCTCAATAATGTCATTGTCAATAAATCTCATTTTGAATCACTTATCGTTTATATCTGGAGATTTAACTTGTAATAAAGTAACAAAATTAAAATCCAAACATTGCATTTCAAATGGAAAGTTCCGGTTGTCGAACCTATGGAAGAGGTTTATATATTTTAGTTCCTAGAGAGATTGACATGATTAATGATCATTATCCATGCCAGAAATTTACCAATTTTGAATTGGCGCGCGTGGTGAGATGTACGAGTATATTGTAGACTAAGAACAAAGTGCCATAAATGTGCAAATTGAACAAGAGTCATTGAGACACTTAGGAAAGGTTACGTTGAACATTTGAATCATTTGATGAAAGGTGAGCACGGAAATTAATTGTTTAAAGCTTAGATATGTCAAAGAGTTCGAGCTCTTAACTATACAGTTACCAGTTAAACACCAGTGTATCCATAACCATATGTTGACATGTGTGCCAAATCACGGTGGATTCGAACCACGTATTGACATGTGTGCCAATTCACGGTGGATTCGAACCATGTGTTGACATGTGTGCCAAGTCACGGTGGATTCGAACCACGTATTGACATGTGTGCCAATTCACGGTGGATTCGAACCATGTGTTGACATGTGTGCCAGGTCACGGTGGATTTAAACCATGTGTTGACATGTGTACCAAGTCACGGTGGATTCGAACCATGTGTTGATATGTGTGCCAAGTCACGGTGGATTCAAACCATGTGTTGACATGTGTGCCAAGTCACTGTGGATTCGAACCATGTGTTGACATGTGTGCCAAGTCACGGTGGATTCAAACCATGTGTTGACATGTGTACCAAGTCACGGTGGATTCGAACCATGTGTTGATATGTGTGCCAAGTCACGGTGGATTCAAACCATGTGTTGACATGTGTGCCAAATCACGGTGGATTCGAACCATGTGTTGACATGTGTGCCAAGTAACGGTGGATTCGAACCACGTATTGACATGTGTGCCAAGTCACGGTGGATTCAAACCATGTGTTGACATGTGTGCCAAATCACGGTGGATTCGAACCATGTGTTGACATGTGTGCCAAATCACGGTGGATTCGAACCATGTGTTGACATGTGTGCCAAGTAACGGTGGATTCGAACCACGTATTGACATGTGTGCCAAGTCACGGTGGATTCAAACCATGTGTTGACATGTGTGCCAAATCACGGTGGATTCGAACCATGTGTTGACATGTGTGCCAAGTAACGGTGGATTCGAACCACGTATTGACATGTGTGCCAAGTCACGGTGGATTCGAACCATGTGTTGACATGTGTGCCAAGTCACGGTGGATTCGAACCATGTGTTGACATGTGTGCCAAGTCACGGTGGATTCGAATCATGTGTTGACATGTGTGCCAAGTCACGGCGGATTCGAACCACGTATTGACATGTGTGCCAAGTCATGATGGATTCGAACCACGTATTGACATGTGTGCCAAGTCACGGTGGATTCGAACCATATGTTGACATGTGTCCCAAGTCTTGGTGGATTCGAACCATATGTTGACATGTGTCCCAAGTCTCGGTGGATTCGAACCATATGTTGACATGTGTGTCAAGTCACGGTGGAGGTCACGGTATATTCATAACAATATATTGACATATGCTGCCAAATCATGGTGTATTCATAACCATATGCTGTGAAGTCATGTTGTTCTCATTACCATATGTTGACATGTCCTGCCAAGTCACGGTCTGTTCATAACAATACGTTGACATGGTATGCCAAGTCACGGTGTATCCATAACAATACGTTGACATGTTATGCCAAGTCACGGTGTATTCATAACAATACGTTGACATGTTATGCCAAGTCACGGTGTATTTATAATAATACGTTGACATGTTATGCCAAGTCACGGTGTATTCATAACAATACATTGACATGTTATGCCAAGTCACGGTGTATTCATAACAATACGTTGACATGTTATGCCAAGTCACGGTGTATTCATAACAATACGTTGACATGTTATGCCAAGTCACGGTGTATTCATAACAATGCGTTGACATGTTATGCAAAGTTACAGTGTATTCATAACAATACGTTGACATGTTATGCCAAGTCACGGTGTATTCATAACAATGCGTTGACATGTTATGCAAAGTCACGGTGTATTCATAACCATATGTTGCGAAGTCACGTTACTGATTACCATATGTTGACATGTGTTGCAATGTCAGGGTGTATTCATAACCAAATGTTGACATATGTTGACAAGTCATGGTGTATTTATTATCATATGTTGCGAAGTCACGTTGTACTGATTACCATATGTTGACATGTGTTGCAATGTCACGGTGTATTCATAACCAAATGTTGACATATGTTGACAAGTCATGGTGTATTTATTATCATATGTTGCGAAGTCACGTTGTACTGATTACCATATGTTGACATGTGTTGCAATGTCACGGTGTATTCATAACCAAATGTTGACATATGTTGACAAGTCATGGTGTATTCATTATCATATGTTGCGAAGTCATATTATTCTCATAACCATATGTTGACATGTGTTGCAATGTCACGGTGTATTCATAACCAAATGTTGAAAAGTGTTACCAAGTCACGGTGTATTCATATCTGTTGATATGTCATGCCAAGTCACGGTGTACTCATTACCACATATTGACATATGACAAGTCACTGTGTACTCAAAACCATAATGTTGACATGTTATGCCAAGTCATGGTGTACTCATCACCAAGTGTTGCCAAGTAAGTGTGTACTCATAGCCATTATTGACATTTGTTGCCAAGTTACGGTTGAACTAACACATGTTTTTATTATCTGTTCTATTCATTATATCATAGATAAATACAAATATAGTTACTTACAGGCTGCTTCATACGTATGGTCACACTCTAAACTCATGTCTTGTAGTATTGTCACTCTATCATACTATATAAAATATATATGAAACCGCATGAAAAGGTTTTATATTAATATTATCAAACTTTGTTTTTTGTCTCAAGATTCACCATTAATGCTGTTTTGCATGGCGATCGTGTGGTTATCATAACAAGTTGTGTTGGCATCGAAATAGCACACATCAATTAAGACACTTGATATTGACTTTGGTAGAAAAACATAATTTGAATAATATTATATCAATTATCGTTTTGCCCAGTATCTACAACTTTCCAGTACATAACCCTTATACAGTGCGTCCCAAAAAACGCAACAAAAACATTGTAAAATCACAAAACTAGTGATGATTACATCAATTTCATTTAGTTTACCATGAAACCACGTGTCTCTCCTTTCCAATGATATGTCATTTGTTCATATCTGATCATGGACCACTGAAAACCCATTGTTTTTTCACACATGGGTGAAAAGGCCTTTGTGCCAAGTTATGAAATATCAATCAACTGATCCTTATTGTGCAATCAGGTAAATCATTATGTAATTGATACTGGGATTATATTCTTGTCACAAAATTTACATAACACAAGTTTCTGATTTTGATTTACTAAGAAAAAAGAAAAAAGAAAAAGAAAATTTAACTTTAAGTGTTCATCAGTATCCTTAATGGTTCAATTAAGAAAACATATGGAAAAAAGAAGTGGCATAAACAGTCATTGCCTGTCATCTTATGAAAGATTACTCATGAAAGATTACATTCCTTGCCCTTTCACATGACCACTATTTCTCTACTCACAGAGACTGACTTGTGTCTCCATGTCGCAAACCTCTTTGAATCATCTGGGGTTCTGGCGGAGAGCAGCAACCTCATTGATGACTCTTTGTTAACTGTTGCAATGTCTAAAACTTGGTCCAGAGCAAATTTTGGCCCGTTGTACAAAAGGAATGATTATTCAGTGGTCTGCGGTCGTATATGAATAATTGACATACCATTGGAAAGAGGAGACATGTGGCTTCCTGGTAAATTAAATCAAAATGATGTAATCATCACTGATTTGTGATTTTACAATCTCTTGTTTGTTGCGTTTTTTGGGACACACTGTACATCCAAGAGTTGTGGTTATCGGTGTTTTTGTAGCCAGTATTTTATTGTATCATTAACATGAGTTATGCGATACTTTAGTTTTATCATGCAATATCTATATCAAACGACTATCATTATTGACTTTATGACAGTCTGATTTTATCATAACGTTTTGTCCTGGACAGCTTTCATTATTGAGGTGTCTCAGAAGTAAATCATTGTACATTTCTTCGGATCTAAAGACTCTGAAAAACTAACCATTGTCTATTAAAGACGAGTATGCTGTTACTTAGAAACAACCCATTGACTACATAATTGTATGGTGCCACTCATTAGGGAGTTTAAGATTAACGTAAAAATATACGTATACCTATCCCTATCCGTATGTTTGTTACGAATGCGTATAGGTAATGCGCTTTGTAAAATGAGTTTAAGATTAACGTAAAAGTTACGGACCTATCCGTATGAATGTTTGTGGAAGGCTTTTAAAGGTATGGCCTATATAAAACACCTGTCTTTTTATTCCCTATGATACTATTTATAGTTTTTCACTCAACTTTTCATTCAACTTGAAATCACAATGATCATTTTTGGCTCCTCACTATAAATTGACCAGTGGTTGTTATTCAGTTTCGCTAGTATTTTACATTGAACATGGCTGGACCTTTGATGGCTTCTGTACTAAACGAGGAAGACGAAGATAACATGTTGATGTATTATTTGTTTGAACAAGAAGGAAAACTAGAAAGAGGACTCTTCGAAATAGATTTGGACAGTATAAGCAATGCAGACTGCAGATTATTGTTCAGGTTTGATAGGGAGGACATTTACAAGTTGGGCGAGACGCTACACATGCCTGAAACATTTCGTGGCTACAATGGTTCGATATCTAGTAAGATAGAGGGACTTTGTATGACACTCAGAAGATTATCTTATCCGAACAGATTGTATGACATGTGTAAGCGATTTGGTATGAGTTTAAACGCTTGCAGTATTCTGATCAATGAAGTAATTGACAGGATACATGATCAACACTCTCATCTTCTATCTGACCTCAATCAACCATGGTTGTCCAATGACAACATTGCTGAATATGCTGCAGCAGTGCATGCTAAAGCCCCGCTTGACAACATATTTGGCTTCATCGATGGAACGGCCAGACCAGTGGCTCGGCCTTCCACTGGGCAAAAGTTACTTTATAGTGGACATAAAAGGGAGCATGTCCTCAAATTCCAAACGTTGATGCTTCCAAACGGTTTGATCGGAAATCTTTTTGGTCCAGTAGAAGGGCGTCGCCACGATGCGGCAATGTTACGTCTCAGTGGTCTTCTCAATCAACTTGATCAACTCCCAGACTTACCAAATGGAAACCCTGCAGCTTTATATGGAGATCCTGCATATCCCCAGTCTGCACATCTGATTGGACCATTTAGGCCTCCAAATATTACTCCTCAGCAGGAAAACTGTAATAAACAAATGTCATCGGTCAGAGACTCTGTCGAGTGGGGCTTTGGGAAAATTATTCAGGAATTCGCGTTTTTGGACTTCAAGAAAAATCTTAAAATACTTCTATCGCCAGTTGCAAAATATTACATCACAGGCACTCTTTTAACAAATTGTCACACATGTCTATATGGGAGTGAAGTTGGCAATTTCTTTGGATTGAAACCCCCAGTATTGGAATATTACATCGGTTGATAGACTTGCTGATATGTTGTATTCACGTGTATAACATATTTTAATGAAAACAAATCATACAGAATAAATTATTTACGACATGTTCATGTATTTTATCTTGGATGTTTTATATACTTATACTAATTAACTAATAAAATATTAGGAAAACCGCAGGTGTAAATAATCCCAACAAACAAACTATACATCATGTGATGGTATGCTTGGGCAGCCACCTTGAATGGCTGAGCAAAAATAAAAAATGCCCCTTAAAATTCTAATCTAGATTTGTTTAAGTTCAGCTCGGATGTCCATTTACATTTTCTTTGCTAACAGTTCCAAGATAGCCTTATTCTGGGCTATTGCAACTTTCTTCTCCTCTGCTTCAACAGCCCATTTCTCCTTCTCCAGTTGTAATCTATTTCGATCGTTCTCCAACTTTGCACTAAGGTATTCTTCGAAGAAGTTACCTGAAAATATGATATGATAAACACTGGGAGAAAATATGTCTGAATATGATTCACACTGGAGACAGTATGTTTGAATATGATACACACTGAAGACAAAATGTCTAAATATGATACACATTGGAGACAATATGTTTGAATATAATAAACACTGGAGACAATATGTTTGAATATGCTACACACTGGAGACAATATGTCTGAATTTGAAATTTTGAAAATTTTCCCCTAGATTGTGCTTCGCGTGCCGTGCGCTTCATGCATGACCCGTCCATTCCCAAAAGTCGCCCCCTTCCTTGGCAAATCCTTCTGACCTCCCTGAATATTGAATGATGGAATTTTGAATTGAATAAATTTAAAAAAAAATGTTTGAATATGTTACACACTGGAGACATTTTTATAATATCTTACAGTATCAAAAAAGAATGTTTTACAATATCTTACAGAATCATTAAATAATGTTTTATAATATCTTACAGTATCATTAAAGAATGTTTTACAATATCTTACAGTATCATTAAATAATGTTTTACAATATCTTTCAATATCATTAAATAATGTTTTACAATATCTTTCAGTATCATTTAATAATGTTTTGCAATATCTTTCAGTATCATTAATAATATCTTTCAGTATCATTAAATAATGTTTTACAATATCTTTTAGTATCATTTAATAATGTTTTACAATATCTTTCAGTATCATTAATAATATCTTTCAGTATCATTAAATAATGTTTTACAATATCTTTCAGTATCAATCAAATAATGTTTCACAATATCTAAAAGAATCATTAACTAACAAGTGCAAAGGTCATCTTGACTTTTGATTTTAATGTTTGAATTGACCGAGAACATCATCTGCAGTCATCCACCAGCCACTATGTCTTTTATGTCTCTGCAGGCGCCACGCCATGTATTATTGCATTTGAACAAAACGAACGACATTGAACATCATTGTTTCTCACATGAATGTAATGAGATTCGTCATGATTTTGTTATCGATTCCGAGCCTTGTAATTAAGATAAACAATTTTGTATATCTGGCATTTGACTTTGGAATCGTTACCACAGAGGTACAGCTCATTGGGGTGATCATATAGATTACATTTGAATCATGATGCACATATGACTACAAAAGGGTGATTGAATGTACCAAGGATCTCATCGCCCAAACTATTTGAAACAGCTAGGAATAACTTTTTGACGATAAGAGGGCATGTCCAAAGTTCAAGCGAGATGCCTATCTCAAATTTGGTCCTAAAGATCAATCGAATTTGATCATTGGGGATGAGTAAAGAATCTAGGTGTAGTGTTTAAGAGTCTTAAGATTACGCAAATTACTACCCAAGAGTATATAAGACTATACTATGCAAAATGAAAGCTATTAAAATATTTCCGTTATACTGTATTCAGTGGTCATTTCAATGGAGAATGGTCATTTCAGGAGATTGTTTCTCATGTTGATTAAGAAAGCACTATTGTAGATTATTTTGAAAACATTTTTAACCCCGGGTAGAGTAGATAATACTCGTATAACTACTCGTTATAACGTTATAATCATAAGCTCTAACTAATTGATTTGCCGTGGTAGCCTATTGTCGATCTTTGACTTATGTAATATCAACTCAGACAAACACCTACCCGTTATCATTACACGCCCATCCACAACATAGAAGGCATTTCATGACCGGATGTGCATCCTGTCTCAGGCATAAATGTGCTAAATTACCCCTAATGAGTACCAATAACCTTACTCATTACGATCCTACGATCCTTCGTTAAACATACCTCCATGTAAACAAGATTTTTTAAGATGCAGATTGTACCAGCAAAAATGTGGATAAGTATCTCTTGGGTAATCAAAACTACGTGTAATTACAATGTTAATACACCTACAGCATTTTGTTAGCCACCACATCTGTATTGTATTGCCATATCAGAGAGATAACTTGAAGATACAATTTACGCAATATACATTTTACGTGACAATTATCCATATTAGATAATAAAACAATCCATTATTATAACAATTCAGCTTATCTTAATGACAAACACGTCTATTTAACATAACAGGTAACAGTACTCCTCCTTTAAAGAAATTATGTTGCCCCGGATTTTAACATGCTCGTATTTGTTTTACAAATATAAAACTTTAATAGGGTATCGGCTTGAATCAAGGAATCTTATCTCCATTTTAATCCATTGACTAAATGGATGCATTCGTCATGAGATTAAAGAAACATGGTTTCTGTGGTACTATTTGCACACATAGCTCATTAAATTCTTCAAGCATTACACGAGCGATTATTAATGAATACAAATGGCACTTCATCATGTTGTTTCACAATATTAAAGCAATCATTTCTCTTATCTTGTCTCTTCTAGGTATATCAGACAAGGAAGAAACAAAAGAAAGCCAATCGGGCCTCAGCATCAGCTTTTATATTGTGATGCAATATTATCAGAGATTCGGGATCAATCATGAGTACACATTTAGGCCGCGTTTTTGAAGTGCCCGCGGTGCAAGTGAATTGCGTAATATTTAGTAATAAGATTTCCCCTAGGTATCACGGAAAGAACAATAAGCCCCTGAGGTGCAAATTACATGGTCACCTTTTTTCAACAAAAACCAAGCGCACTTACACTACTACTACAGTACTTATGCCTGAGTCACATTTGCTCTGATCCAATGGCCGGTGTGTGTTTCATTTCCCCGTCATCGTTGGTTGGGTTTCGTTTTAACCAATATTTTATTACATTAAAGATTCGTGCAAGGTCATTTCCACATTCATCAAAAGCAAAATGCTTATGTCTATATGACCTGATCTTAAAAGGATTAAGACCCAAGAAGAAATGACACAGAAGAAAGATAAAGTCTAACTACCTGATATATATGATGGACTTAGTGTCTAGTCGCTTTGGCCGCTGTTCGACTGTGCCGCGTACAAAAATAGACAATTTTCGGATATAAACTTTGAAGCTTTTTTAATTGAAATTAAAAAGACAAAACTACATGAAACAGTGCAAGCAAGTGAGGATGATGAGATGTCAAGTATGTCAAGCTTTGTCCCTATGGGGGAAGGTGATACTGTTTCTACGCCTTAAGCTTTCCACCTTCACAAATTATATAAAACCATAGCAGTTAATGTTACATGAGGAAAATTCGCTGAGTTCCTTGCATCATGGTAATTCATCAAATTGAATGTACGTTCCCGGTACTTATAAGCTGCCTTGTGATTAGCTTAATCTTTAGTGAACGTCAGCATAACTCGAATGTGATTTTAATGTTGCAATAGTTTAACACTTAATATATCAATTAGTATTTATCATCACTAATGAACAAATTACAATATCGCTTATATTTTAATTTAACTGCTAATAACTATCAATAACGGTAGAATGGTCTCGTATAGACATAGATTTCAGACACTCCGTTCTTGCTCAACCTATAGAGACATCAAAATGAGTATATTGATAGAGTAACGGCATTAATAAACTCAGACACTTTTTAGCCGCCGGGACACATCAACAAGTCACCATAACTCAGAATCAGTTTTGAACAACACGGGACTGATCATTAGTACGATCATTGTGAAAAGTTACCCCAAATGAATATTATTTTACCATTAATAAATATCTAATGTCGTTATTTTGATGTTAAGACTGAGATTACGCGTATAATACTCAGTGCTTAGGGACATGGGAGTGGAAATGATGATCAATGGAGCGATTGTAAGAAAACGAGTAAAATGACGGCTAGAATCATCGAATCGTGATTGAGCAGTGTTTTGTCGGCTGCAAAACTGATCAGTTCATATGTTGTGACATGCGCAAACCTATATTTAGTCACGTGATATTATCATTTTAAATACGGCGGTCATTCCGATGTCTGACAACCTTTACAAAGATCTAGGCAGGGTCATTTTAACGTCAGCAGAAACGCATATCCTTACGACAATCGATGATGAATTAGATAACAGATTTTCGAAAACCCGTCTCTTGCTAAGGATAGATTTAGTTGAGTTGTATTGCCATTCTCAAAAGTGCGGCTGTGCCCCTCAATGTAAAGATAAATTAATGTAGTGTTTTAAACTCGCACCTAATGAACTAACACCAGCTTGTCATTCACGTACCCACGCTTAGCAAAAAACATAGCAAGATGATCTGAATTTTGGAATTTCATTCGTGGGTTGTGCTGAGAGCACAATAGACTGGGAAGTGAAATAAAAAGCGATTGGGTGCACTCTAGTACCTGTGTGGGTGCGCTCTGGTTGAGTGGAGACGATTGAGGAGTTGAAAAAAACAAAAGGGGGCTTACGACACTTGGTATTCCCAGGCGGTCACCCATCCAAGTGCTAACCAAGCTCGACATTGCTTAACTTCAGTGATCGGACGAGAACATGGTATGAACGAGTTAACAAAAATATAGCTACTAGTCTATACCACACCAAACTAGTTGACACTGCGTTCTTAAAAAGGTTGCCGAATTGATTTTAAACCATGTTCGAATGGAATGGAATGCAACTACTTTCCACGGTCTATTTACGAACTTCAAGAACATGCTCGGACAGGAAGATGATTTAAAATGTTGAACCATTTCCAAATTTTGATGGCGAACATACTGTTAGATCACGTGACAACTTAATGACCAACTTAATGAGATGACCAACTAGACGAGGAACGTAATTACCGTACTTCGACGTAACTACTTACGCGTCAACGACGTTGTGCAATCGGATATCATTATCACTGTTCCACAGCTGGATGACTCTAACTGCAGTTATCTTCATTCAAGATAGTTGCCGAGATTCTTTCGTTTTCGATAAACCTCCGATTTCAGCTAAACTAAACTGAAACTTGATTCCAAAGATTTCGCCATGCAAATTAATAAAACTAGGATTGTATTCAACCACAAATGAATGCCCGAAAACCCGCAATATTAGAGGATTTTAAAGAAACCGGCTTCATTTGAATGACTCTAACTGAAGTTGATGATCTACGTCATCATTAAGTCATTATCGACTTCAGTTGAGTCATTCTTAGTGAAGTGCCCGTCGACATAGTGCAGTGCGAATGAGATATGGACGTATTGAAGACTGTTTATGAACGAAGTATATTATGTTAAACATTTCCCGACCACAGCCGTATTAAGCCCGTTTTTCGAGAACTGGAAAGAAC